ACTACTACTACTACTACTACTACTACTACTACTTTCTGCTACTCTGCTACTGCTACTGCTACTGCTACTGCTACTACTACTACTACTGCTACTACTACTACTACTACTACTACTACTACTCCTACTACTCTAGTACTACTACTACTACTACTACTACTACTACAACTACTACTAAAGAAGAAGGAAGTAGTAGTAGTCGCGAGCGAGGGGGGGAAGGAAAAACAAGAAGACAAGTGCCTGATGACTACTTCCTCGCGTGCTTCCTGGAACACCAGGTTCCCGGCCCGGGCAGCACCACGTAGACGAAGGCAGCCCATAAGGAACCCTTCGATTTCCACAGAGCCACCTGCGCGCGTAGTAGACCTCGACGGACACCACTCTCCAATGTAGGGCACGTCGAAGGGGTAGTCCGCCCAACGCGCGCCGTGCTCGAAAGTGGCCGTCGCGCGTTTGCAACACGGGCATGTCGAGTGCTGCAGTTCGTGAGGGAGCGAAGCTTGCTGCTGCTGCTGCTGCTGCTGCTGCTGCTGCCGCTGCCACTCATTTTGCTTGGCTCTCAAGAGGAGCTCAGGGCTGATAAATGCGCCGGTGAGGACCGACACCGTGTTTATCCGCCCCTGCAGCCGCCCTGCGCACGCCAGCCACAACACGCTCATTGTAACAAGCACCCGTCGCGCGCATGGCCGCGGTCTCATGTCGTGACGAGTCAATGTAGGCCGTGAAGCGAGCTCTACGCCATGACTCTCTCAGTTCGTGAACTTGTGTCTCCCAGGTGGGGTGCCTGAAGGCTGGATTCAGGGGGTTAAGGCAAACAGAGCAAGACTGGTGGGGGTGGTGCCAGACGCAGGGAGACACCTCTCGCCAGCCCAGCTCTGACATGAACCCTCGTAGTCTCCTGGCCGGTCCGCCTGTCTCACTCCAGCGCGGCCAGTGAAGCCTACAGCTCTGCGAACTGCGGACAACGCCTGAGCCCCTGCGCAGAAGCGAGGGTCTCTGTGGTGCCCTACTACGATCTTGCCTAGGTCCGTAGAAGCACCTGGGTGGTCGTAGCCAGCTCTTTTCAGTTTAGTCTCAACTTTGCCTAAAAGCTTCTTGGTCGGAGCGCGACTGAGCCAACCGAAACTGATCTTGGACGTATCAGCCATACCTGAGGCGAAAGCTCTCTTAGCCGCCCGCGTGGGCACAGCACGAAGCTTGTCCGCAACACGAGCGCCCTTGTCCACCCGAGCCTGCTCCTTGTCATGGACTGCGCCCAAGCCGAGCGTAGAGCCCAAAGCGTGCAGGAAGGGGCTAACGTTTTGCCTAAACAGATCGTGTGCCTCCAACCTGCGGCGTCCTGCCACAGTCTTGTGCGTCGACTGTGTCTTCGTCTCGTTCTCCTGAAGACCAAGCAGACCAGTGTGGTGAGTCCACTTCTGAAACACCTGCGCGCATTCCTGCACCGTGCGCGAGCTCCAAGTTCGGTCGTCCAGGAAAACACACATTTCAGTAGCAGGCATGTGTCGCAGGATGTCCTTCACCGGAGTGGACATGATCAAGTTCATGACTGCTGGTGCTAAGCTGTCGCCTTGAGGCATAGAGCCTCTGACAAGCTTCGAATCAGGGAGCACCTCGCCGTACCATGACATGTAGCGTCTTTGACCCCCCCATAAGTCGTGGACCGCCTGCCCGAGCTTAGACGGGAAACCGTGCCAAGACAAAGTAGCACAAGCCCTGGCAGGCGAGACAAAGTCGAAGGCTTTGCGGAAGTCGAGAGTGCACACGTAGTGTTTCGTAGCAAAAGCCTCGGCGATAGACACGAATGACGACGAAGCATCGCGTCCTCGTCGACCGCCTGCCTGACTAGGATGCAGTTGGCCGTCCAGCCAGTTGTGCACGTCATCCTCGTCCATGCGAGCGGCGATGTATATGTGCCAGAACACCGGAAGCACGGAAATCGGCCGCAGCTTTCCCGCCGGAATCGCTTTGTCGGACTGACGGGCAGCCCAGGTTTAGGGATGTGGACTTGCAGGATTTCTCTCCATCCCGCCGGGAAGACACCGACCGACTCCCATCGCTGAAGGACTTTGGTCACGTCGGTCCAAATGTTACTTGGCCACATTGCCACCTCCGTGCCAGACCAGCCGTCGAGTCCAGCGCTTTTGCCCTGTTGCTTTCGTGCCGCCCGCAATATCTTGGCCTCATTGACGGGAGACCACTGCTGCTCAGGCTGCCGAGCCGGGCCGCACGGTCAAGTACTGCGCGGGGTCCATCTCCGTTGGACCAGTGTCTCTGTCCCAGACCCTTGTCCAGTACTGAAGAAGCGTGTGCAGCACTTCTTGACCGTCACACGTCGCCGCGGCCTCAGCACTGTCGTCATCGTCGAAGATGTTGACAGTCGGCGGTGCCGGCTTTTCTCTGAGCCAACGGAACAGCTCCCGGTCGTGGCTTCGAAGCTTGTTCTTCCAATGCCTAAGTCTGGCAGTCGTCTCGTCCTTAGTCAGTTGCTGCACTTGAGCAGCGGCCTGAGCCGCCGTCATGCCCGGGACGTAGTGCGGACACCGAGCAAGTTTCTGACGCAACTTGGCGACTTCGCTACTGGAGCAGTCACCGTGGTGCCCGCGGCGTTCTAACTCCGAAAGTCGGCCATAGAGGCGGTGGTGGATTCTCAGGGCCGCACTCGTGGCCTCTCCGTATGCCTGCGTTTGGACACGAGAGACCTGTCTCACCTTAGTCGGTGCTCCCTTGCAGCGCTCGGGCTTGCCATGGTGTCGCATGGCCAGTCCTTGCTCCTGCATAGAAGCCGCTGCTTTTTGAAGGAAGGCTTCCAAGTGAGCGCACAGGCTGGTCCACTCTGTGTCAACCTGGTCCTGACAGGCATTTCGTTCTGGGGCAAGGGGTGCCAGGCTTTCCCACCAGTGGGACCACTGGCCTGCGTGCTTAGTCCATGCATCTTCAATGTGTGTCCTCCACGTGGTGCCTTGGTCGGGCTCACGAGGCA